CAGGTCCTCCTCCTCCCTCCAGCCTGCCCTCCCTGACCTCCCTTCCCTTTGGTGACCCTTTGTGCTCAAAACAGCTGTTTCTGGGTCAAGGACCTTCTTTCAGGCCCCTGGGTGTGCACTGCCCCTGGGGTTAAGGACAGAACTCCAGTTGAGGGGTAACAAGATAAACTAAATCTTCACCCCAGTAAGTGGGGGTGTTGGGGTGGCAGGGGCCCAGTGCTGGTGGGGGGGGGGGCTGTCTGCTAAGACTTGCCAGCAAAGAAAGTGGCAGGGGCCTGCAGACAGGCTCTCTGTCCCTGGGGGCCACCCCGCAAACTCCGTCCCAGCTGCCAGGTTTCCCGGGATACAGCCTGGTCACTGAGGATTTATTTCTGCATATGGTTTGGGAGAATCTCTGTTGTTGGAATAACGACAACTTTTTCCCCCTTCTTCCCTCCAATAGGCAGATTTTATAAACCAGAGCAGCTGCCTGAAGGTTTCCAAGAGAAAATTCTGCACAATTTCTAACCAGGGTGACAGTTCCCCTCTCCAGGAAGTTGCTTTTATTAAGTTTCTCTCTCTCTCTCTCTCTCTCTCTCTCTTTTTTAATCTCTTTTTTGTAAGACTCCATCTCTGGGTCATCAGCCAGCTCTCCAGGCCTTATGGGCATTTTTGTTTTTCCTGGTTTGCCTGGAACTCGTGATTACATCTAAACCATGGTAGACTTGCCCAACACAGGGGCAAAGGTTGAAGGCTAGCTCACAGCCCCTGGGCTGAAGGATCCCAAATAATTTATGGAAATACTCCCTCCCTCGAGGAGGGGGACACAGCTTCTCCCCCAGCCAAGTGTGGGTTATGCTAGGCAGTGAGAGTGGTAATGTCTGCTCGAAATGGCGACTAGATCTAGGACCCTAGGAAACACTTGTCAAAGCACATAAACCCAGGTCAAAGTCAGGAAATTCCCAGACGGAAGAAAGCAGTCTGCCACGCCAACCTACTGGCGGGGAGACCAAGGAGTGCCTAGAACGGGGGCTCGGATTCCTTCCCAACCTGCTGCCAGGCCTGGGCGTTGCCCCTCCCCCAAGACTGCTACCTGCGTGTACTGTCTCTGAGTTAACTACTGTGCTTTGCCTAGACATGGCTTTGAATTATTTTATGACCATAATCAAGAACCAAGGAACCCCAATGCCCAGGAACAAGTTACACACACCATTTCCTTCCAAATATGAAAGTATGGAAATGGGGAAAGAAAGAGTAACTTTGCAAGAAAGAGAAACTTGACAAACGCCTCATCAGCCAGAGATCAAGGCCAACACCAGCTGCGGAAGTCGGTTGATGTGGCAAGGACAGTGCTGGCCTCCATGGCCTCCCAATAACCCTGAGGAAAATATCAGAGAAATCTGAGAAACTCTCACAGCCAGGGAGGCCCAGGGAGACTCCGCCACTAAACACAAGGGTGTGCTGTGTGGGTTGGGACCAGAGAGGGGCCATTAATTAGCTGATAGCAAATGAACAAATGAACACTTGAATTGTCCTGTGCAAAAGGCACCACAGTCGTGTCCTATGTGAACACCAGGAGCCCTGGGGCCAGGCTGGGGGTGGTGCAACCCTGCAATGTCTCCCTAACTTTTCCTTAAGATTTATTTATTTTGTGCATACAGAACTGGGGTACAGGCCAGAGGCTCAGGGGCAGCGAGAGGCTTCACCAGAGACAGAGTGGGGAGCAGAACAGGCAGATCGATGAAGTACACTGCTGAGGGGAGCAGCGGGCGGGTCAGGAGAGGTCTGCCGTGCCATGTGGTCACCTCTGGTACAGGCAGGAATCGAACTCATGCGGAAGTGGCTTTAGCTTCGTAGTGCTGTGCTTTAACCTGCTGCACCACCAGGAGGGCCTGTCTCCCTAACTTTTCTGGAAATCTAAAACTTTTCTAAAGTGAAAGGTTCTATTTTAACCATGGGACCACGTTTGCATTCCAGGCAACTCCTCAAATCCCCTCTGCAGCCAGCATTTAGATCTATCTACTGTCTCAGAGGGTGGGCTGGGCCCTAGCCCACACCCTCATTCCTCTGGGCACCACCCTCATTTTCAAGCCCCAGGAAAACTGCCACTTCTCACCCTTGTATGTCCAGCGAGCCTAGCACAGTCAGTCCTTGGTGCATAGCAGGAACTAGGTTGATTTTTGTCAGATGAATAAAACTTGGGGAGGGCACCCAAGCAGGAAGCCAGCCCCACGCAGGGCAAGAAATTAGTACCTTAAATCAATCCAGAGAGGGGGCGACTGGCGACTGGTGAGAGGGGACAGGAGACTGCTCTTGACCCTGCCGTCGTGAGGATGCTCGAAGATGGACTCAAGATTATACTGAGATTTACTGGGGGCTGTGGTGATTCTTATACTGCCTGGTATCCTCGGGTGTCAACTCTGGGTTGTAAAACTGTCTGCAAAGAAGTTTCACGCAGCAAGCCCTGTTTGCTGGGTCTTGAAAGCCCTTTGCCTGCCACCTTGTGCTTGTGCCCAGTCAGGGCTGCCGTGTTTGTGTGCCGAATCCAGTGTGGAGAGGGGTTCTGTGCGACCCCCATGCAGCCCCATAGTCACCACCTTCCTTTGACAGAAAAGGAAACAGAGGTCCAAAGAGCTTCAGAAACCAGCTGGGCGTCGCCATGAGAAGGCAAAGGAGACCTCAAACCCAGATCCTTTAAGGCCCAGATCACTGCCCTTCACTCTCCCTTAGCCGGGACTCGCCTAGTGGCCCTCAGGCCTGCGCAGCTGCTCGCCTCACCCATTCTGGGGCTCCCACACAGCAAGCTGTCATGTTCAAGCCTTTCTTTTAAGGTGCTTTTTTTCCCCTGCAAGGTGCTCCCTGGTGTTCCTTCAAGCTGTCCGCTGGACAGGGCACAAAGCTGAATGCAAGAAGATGCATGCTTATTGCAAGCATTTAATTAGTGAACTTTGACTAACACACCCCAATGCTGGATGGATGGATGCCTGCGGGCGCCGAGACACCCTCCCCCACCTCCGGTTTTCAATTGCCTTCTCCATTTTTATTGCTCCTCACCAGATCCTTCAAACACATCCTTGGTATAATTTTATATCTGCCCAGCCCCCACAGCGCTTTCTTAACAAATGTTTACCCCAATGTTGGAGTATATTTAAAAGATGCATATTCCCGTGTGGTGAATGGAGTCCTCAGGAAAGGCAGGCTGTCTTCCCAGGTCCTCCGGACTCCAGCAGGGCGCTTTAATACCTCAAAATGGACCCAGAGCCTGGGTGGGGGGCTCCTGAGCGCCCCCTTCCTAGCAGGGGGCTCCAGCCCACCACACCCAAGCCCCATCTCTGTTCTGACCCTTACAGAGGTGAACAGTAGGTAGACCAGCCAGAGAACAGAGCCTCAAGACAACCACCAAGAGAAGGAGCTTGAAGGCTCAAGCCAATGGCTGCAGGTGGAACAGAGCCTGAGTCTGGAGTCAGAGGACTCTGCATCCCCACCCTGGGCCATGGGCTCTGGGTTCGAGTCCTGCGGCACACTTAGCCACAGAGTAACCTCATACAAGTGACTTAACCTCTCTGAGCCTTGTGTGGTTGGGGTACAGGATAGCATGTCGCTGGGCTGTGAGCTGCTCACACTCAAAGGTCAGTGAATGTGGATGTTCCTGGTCCTTTTAGCCCCTCTGGGGTGTCAATCACTGCAGGTTTTTAGGTTGCCTCACCTTATATGAGGGAAGGCAAGGGCGAGCACTTTGTAAGTGCTTTGATCAGGTAAGTCATCAGTAACCTGGGCACGAACAGACTGCCTTCTGGAAGAACTTCCATGGCTCCAACCCCAACAGAAGCTGGGCCTGCTCCTAACAGTCTGTGTAGCACCCTTCTGCTTTCTCAAGGGAAAAACACTGGGGAGATCCTAGTGTCTAAAGGCCCATCAGCTCTGAGGCCCTGGGGCTCCTGGGGGAGGGCCTGGCTCAGTTGTGGACAGACTCATACAAATGGGTAGTCAAGCTGCCCCCCCCCCCCCCCACCCAGCCTGCGCACAGAGCTGCTCTGCTCTGCTTAACACCACTGAATAGTGACTGGTCTCTGAGGAATGGCTGGTCACACAGCAGTCCTCTCTGCTGAGTCCTGGGGGCCGGGGACCCGGGCTCCCCCTGCCTGGGAGAGGATGAAACATCGCTCCTCCCCTGCCTCCGGAGCCCCCTCCAGCCCTGCCTTACCTGATGTGTGAGTCACAGGCAGGCTCCTGTCATTGTGAGCAGTGTTGTGACTCCCTGGCTGACAGTTTTACAACAAACACATTAAAAGCTCCCAGCACTGGGGCTGCTGGGTGCTAAACAACCAAAGAAAAACCTCTCCCAGCCCCTTTTCTGGCAAAATCCTCCCATCCTCTTGTCCCCAAGGGCTGCGGCGACCCGCCGCGGCCCTTCCCAGCCACAAAAAGGGGCTGAGGTTTGCTTTTTTTTCTTTCCATGAGCTTTTTACTGCAGTGATTGGAGAAAAGCTGCCAGGTGGGGAGGCCTGAGACCTCCCAGCTGGGTGTCCCAGAAGATCCTGTGGGCACACAGCTTAGAAGACACAGGTGTGAGGGACAGGGCACCCCCTCAGCCTGCCGTGAAGGACAGGTGAGCCTGGGAATGTGGCCCCCCTCCAAGGACTCTGAGATGGGGCTGCGTTATCCCCACCTTACAGACTTAGAAACTGAGATTTAAAGAAGCAAGGGAGGCTTAAAGAGGCTGGAGGCCACACAGCAGGGAAGCGAAGGAGCTGAGATTTGCAGCCCTCTGCCAGCCTCCAAATACAGGGGCCCCCTTGTTCCCGCACCCCGGGGATGGCAGAAACCTCAGAGGAGCAGGCAAGCTCGGCAAAGCCGAATCAACTCAAGGGCCGCCTTGCCAGTCTTCCCATCACTTGCGCCCAACCTGAAGCAGCGCCCTCCCGCCGCGTCTGCTGGAGACCAAACTCACAGTTGCCTCCCTGCTATCTGCAAGCAGCAGCCAGAAAGCAAGTCCCGGGACCCAAGCAGAGAAAAGAGGAGCGAGACACAGGAAGTTCTTTTATTGTACATTGGAGAAATAGCCCTGTGTGCTGGTCAAAGGTGCAACATACAGAATATCGAGTTAAGAAAAGAGGGACCAGGGGAGGGAAGGAAGAAACCTTTTGAGGTCCAAAGTTGCAAACAAAAAAATGGTAAAAGATTTCCTCACGCAAGAGGCATTTTTGCAAATACCATGCAAAACAGGCAGCTGGTGTGCCTTAGGAGAACCCTATAAATAACAGGAAAGACACTCCAAGCATTTCTGTACGTGGACTCAGAGCACAGGGAAAAGAAAGGAAACCAAAATGCCTTTTGGCATTTCAAGATATTTGGCACTCTTGTGATTACATTTTTTTTTTACAGTCCATTAAAGAGGATAAACTGACACAATATTAGAGAAAAAAAACAGGCTGCTCACACAACAGACTGCAGGGAGAGGTTAGAAAAAGCTCAAGCAATTTTTTCTTTGTTTTTCATGTTTTTTTTTTCCTGACATATAAAATGTGTCCATTTGCATTAACTTGGGCAAATAGCTTGCAGCAACAAAGAAACACAAGCTTTACAATTCATATTAAAATAAAACAAGGATCCTTTCTGTGTGTCCTTCTTTAGAGAAGTTCTTCTTATTTTCAGCACATCCTGATAACTTCAAAAGCTAACCAAAATAAAACAGAGTATCTATAGAGATCATTTTCTGATTTTTCTTGTACATCCAAGGATAACAACATAAAAAAATAAAACTGGACAGCATTTCACATCCAAGTGCACAGAATCATTTTTGCAAGATTAAATAATGTAAACATCCGGGACAGCCAAATCAGCAAAGAATGCCAACACCCCCAAAACACTGGTGTTGCTGTTTCATTATTTAAAGTGGTTCAAAATCCAGATCAATAATTGCGCAATATTCACTGTATAGAAAAGAAATGGATATTAATTTTGACAAATAGCTGCAACTGAGACTTCTTTTATTTCTTTACATGTGTATATAGTGATTTTTTAGATTTTTTTTTTTATTTTTATTTTTGCAGAGAAGCCCAGAGCCTTCTCCTCCTTCTCATGCCTCATCTGTCTCCCGGCCTGACACAAGACACAGGTTGTTGATTTCATCCTGGGTAGCACGCTAGTCGCAAATTGCAAAGTGCTTTCTCTTTTCATGCTTTTGGCCAATAACTGTTATCGCCGTTCTTACTCTTATTCTCTCCCCTAACTCATTGTCTTTGGGGGAGTTAAACACCAGGAGGTGCCTTGTCTGTCATATTTTTCAGCACGTCATCAATCCTATCATCTTCAATAACAACTGCAAAAAAGGGGGAGAAAAGGAAAGGTGAGCACGCTGGGGCCTTGCCTGGAGTCTCCACTTTGGCTGAGGGAGGGCAGGGAGCTCGGGAGAGGAGGGATTCTCGCCTGCAGACGCCCCGTCCACTTAGGCTGGGAGAGGGGTCCCTTCGAAGCTTTCCACTGAACCACCTAGCTGTCCCCATCCCTAGCCTGGTCCCCAGCTCCATTCTGATAACAGGAGGCAGGGAGGAAGCCGGTAGCGCCAGGGCCAGGGCTGCACCGGCTGGGTCCTCGCCCCACCCCACCCCACCCCGGGGAGTGTTCATTTAGAAAGAAGGTACCCCGTAGAGGAGGGGGAAGGAGCTAGGTGCCCCAGCCTGGAACCCCCTGGGATGCCCAGCGCGGCGAAGGTGACCAAAGCTGGGACGGACTTGAGGAGCCCGAGGGAGGATGCCAGTTCCCACCGCGCAGCCCGTGGAGGGCTCCCGCCTCGCCCGCCTGGCGCCCTCTTGCGCGCCCTCTCGGTGCCCGCCAGTGGACGCGGCCGCTCGGCTCCCACTGCGGCCACAGAGGTCAGGGCTTCCCTCTCTGAGGCTGCCGCTCGCCGTCTCCTTCAGCTCTTTCTATCTAGACTCTCCTGCTTCGGCCCCTCCACCAGCCTCAGCACAACGGTCACCTGTCGACGTACATGGGTCCCTCTCTCCGGAATGTCAGTCGCCCTCACTGTTTCCGTCGCTTCTCTGTCGTTCCCGGACTTCTGACCCCGGCTCGCGGTCTCTCCCGCTCCGGCTCCCTCTCCAAAGCTTTGTCTCGGTTTTTGCCCATCTTGGTCCTCCCCCGCCCCCTCCCCGTGCTCCCTCCCTATCTCGCGCCTCGGTCTCTCCCGGCAGCTGTCGGTCTCCCCCATTGTCCCCGCGCCTCCGGAGCGCCCCGCGGAGCCTCTCGGCGTCCCTGGCCCCCCGGGGCTTTTCCAACTCCCGCGTCCAGCTCCCGGGCTCGGCAAACCCCTCCCCTGCAAGTAACAATGACAACCCCCAGCGATCCGAAAGCCCCTCTCTCCCCCAGAGGAACCGAGTCCTCCCCCCGCAGTTCCCCACGCCGTCCCCTGGGGAGCCCTGGGGACCCCTTCCCCGTTGTACAGCTGCGACGACACTGCGCAAAGGGGGGGTGGGGGAAATCAAAGGGTAAACTTCGGCGCGGCTGCAACCTTTCAGCCCCCGCCGTACCCAGAAGCCGCCACGCCCCCTCGGGGTGACCCCACCGGAGATCAGGCTGAGCCGGAGGGGTCCCCGCGGCCAGTCCGCGCCGGACCCGCAGTGCGGGATCCCGCAATTCTGCGCGTTGGGATTCCGTTGGGTCGGAACCGGCTCCCCCGAGCGAGAGACCCCAGCAAAGCTCCGTCAGGCCTCCAGGCCGGAGAAAACGGGTGTCGGGGAGCAAACCGCGGACTCACCCCGCTTGCTCCGGCCGATCTGGCCCAGCTTGGGCGGCCGCTTGTTCTGCCCGGCTCCGAAGAAGTTGTTGGTGTCCTGCAGGCGGCAGGAGAAGATCTGGCCCACGTCGCCGCCGTCGCCGTAGGGGCTCAGCTTCTCGTCGCCGTAGGGCAGCACCTCCGACATGGTCGCGTCCGGGGGCTCCGCGGCGGCGCCTCCTCCGCCCGCGTCCCCGCCCGCGG